TGGTTGCATCCAGAATCTTAGTGGACTCATCAGGTTTTGCTTGAAAACCAAACAATCTCCATATTGGGCTAGAAGCCCCTTTCTTTGGCTACAGACCTTTTTCTATCAGATGTTCAGACAAAGTCACACATGTAGTTGTTGCGTATTGCATGAGAAGAATCATCCATATAATTCTTACTTTCCTCTGACGACTTATTCATACATGTACTTGCAACAAGTACGGTCATAAAACTAGGTGATAGCCAGCAATGTAAACGGGGGCACTAGTTTCCCTTATAATAGTTTATCCTTGAGTTTGTTACAGCTTGATAGGTTAATTTATTTGAACCCAGCCGAAACTTGGCTGAAACATGAGGTAATGAGAGTAAACAGCAAGATAAAATTAGTTTCCCCCAAACCACAGTATTTTACATGTATATGTCAACATGGTGACTCGGGACCCACAAAAAAATAACTTTCGCATCTTTTAGATATTTTAGGAGTACTCGGTCGCCCGATTGCTCAACCCCATAAATCCGCCCAAACACAAAGTTGCTGGACAAACAATTACAACAAAATAGACACAACTTTTAATTGCTCATACTTTCCTTTCAAATTTTTATTCACATTTTCAGAAAATAATCAGAAGATCAGGAGTACCATTATCTAGGAATTAGGAGTACTTTACTTTTACGGGAACCTTTAAGTTCACTATGAGAGCTGTCTATGTGTAACCTCATCCCATTCTGAAATTTTTTTTTAAAAAAAGGCAATTACCAACAAAAAGGCCACAGGGCTTTAATAAGTTTTGCCAACAAAAAAAGACAGAAACTCACCGATTCTGTCCATGTTTTATTACAAATTTCCAATAAAAATGAGAGGGCTGAACAATTACTATGTCATCGCGGCTGCGATGTCATACCGATAGATGTAATTCCAAAAGCAACACACTATGGAATGAATACATGAATACAAACCAACACTAGGTGCTACAAATGGAACAATGTCAATGCATTCCAATCGGGGCCACTTTACATGTACATACTTCACACATCCAGTCTCCCGCTGTGCGCATGGTTAGGCCATGTGGCCTAACCGTGGCACCATTTGTGGTTTAGCAGACAAAGCAAGTAGGTATTACTTGCCACATGGTATCCGAGCTGACGCTGCCTGCGGTTTACTTAGAGCATTTCTTTGAAGACTCACACCGAAATTTAGTCGGCGGGCATTTGGAATCGTTTGATCTTTTTGAGAATCGAATCTCAAAGGAATGGAATCGATCAATTCAGGGAACCGATTCCTCAAAAAAAGTGGAATCATGTCTCTGATTCCAATTTTGGAATCAATTCTTCACGATTCCAAAGTGGATTTGCCCGAGCCTGTAACACAACCATGAAATTTTTTGCATTTGTATATGTTTTTACAATTAACACAATATTTAGAAACCTTATAATTTTTGCAATGATTGCATTTATTACATGCAATACATCAGTCGATTTAATTGCAGTTTTGGCAATAAAAGGAATCAACAGCATCTGTCACATTCTGTGATTCAATGTTTTTTTTACAAACGTAACAATTAAAACACTGTTCATGATTGACATCAGTTTAAGAGTTTTGGTTTTGGTCTTGCATTCTAGATTTTAGTTTGGCATCTTTGATATAAGGGCAGATGATATTTTTTAAGAGAGTGTGAGCGGCGGTGGTGAGGGGTGGTGGTGGTGAGAGGGAGAGGGAAGTGAGGGGAGAGATTTTTGAGATTATTAAGGTTGGGTAGGTACCCAGGAAAAAAAGTGGCCCAGAACTCTCATATCTCTACTACTCTTACCCCGAGGAGGTCAGGGGGTAGTGCAGCTTGGTAGTTCTTCCCTTGAAGCTCCTCTGGGGTGGCTTGGTAAGTCGAGAGGAAGACGGACAGCCTTAATTCATCTGGTTACTGGGTTGACAAAAGGGGCGGGAGGAACTATAACTGCCCTGATGTTAAGGTCTGAAGAGTCAAGCCCGGCGATCATCAGGACGGGATTGGCAAGGTGAAGCCACCGGTGGAAGGTCAAGGAAGCTAAGTTTACCTGTTTTGTCATTGCGCTTAACTTCAGAGTCCATCATCTCCATGAACTTCCCCGTGGAAAAGTCTTTGCCGTAAAGAGGAAGTTCCTGAAGTCTTGACCTCATAGGGAATGTTCATGGCGTCAAAAGTGTTGGATCTGTGTGCTGAAGTGGCTAAAACAGAGATTCGCATGAACTGATTGAAGATAGAGTTGACGTTCTCAAAGTGCTACAGCTGCCAGGTCCAGAGTAACTGGTGAATCTTTGTCACACGCTCGGACCAAATACTCAGAGAGGAGTGCCGTAAACGCGGTGTCGCAAAAGCCATGTCGTGAGGCTTTGTCAAGTTTAGCAAAAGTAGACTCGACGAAATACTTGTCCTTGTCTTTAAATGGACACTTTCCTGTAGGCTTGAGAGCATCAGAGGAAAGTTTATCTTTAGCCTCTGTTGGAATATCAGGGACAGAGAGGAAGTTGTCAAAGTCCTCCTTAGCAAACTGGATATAAGTCGAGGCCCTGGGTGAGTATGGATGCCATTGTTTGGTACTGGCAAGAACTTTAAACATCTCAGCACATGAGCGGTCAAGTGGAAGTTTGGGAAAAATTGGCATTGATGCCTCCAACCTAACAGGGTGGCGCTTGAAGGAAGCATGTGAAGAGGCCTCAGCCGTAGATTGATTAGAAGGCAGGCCTAATGTGTGGATCATATCCTTCTGAAGACAGAGCCATGCCTCAGGAGAGTTAAAGTTGGCTGCAGAGGAGATATCCTCATCTTCAAAGGATGTATCCCATTCCATCTGGAGTTGATCTGAGGAAGGAAGAAGGTCATCATGTCTTATTGGATGGCCATGGGCCGGAGCAGGTGAGCTGCAATCTGCGGCGGAACCTGGATAAGTCGAAGGGATGAAACCATCATATGAAGATCGGATCACCAAAGAATGCAAGTTCGGAAGCCGATCCGGATGCGGATCTGGATGCAGATCCGGATCTGGATGCAGATCCAGATGCAGATTACGTTGCACTGGCAAAGGGTCCTGATCTGGGGCCGTCGCCGTGAGAGCAGGATTGGGCTCTAGACGGCTGGCTATAGAAGAGAGCTTTAACGAGAACATGCGGACTGCTGACATGATGTCCGCTGAAGCATCCTCCTTCTGTGAGGAGTGAGACTTCTTATGCTTAGACCACGTAAAAGAAGACAAAGAATGTTTGCATTTCTTGTGTTCGGGAGAACTGGTTGTAGAGCTGGCGGTCGACACCTGATGAGCTGGGGCATCAGAGGCCTGCCCAGACAGCAGTAAAGATAAAGCAGGAGAGGGCTGGTGCACTGCAAAGTTAGAAGCAGTCTTCCCAGAGAGGCCCAGAAGGTAGCTGGAAGACGGGGTGACATACAGGGGTTAAAAGCACTGACGGTGCCGGAGGATGGTGGGCTCTATTGTCCCGGGCGCGGGTGGCGGTGAGCCCGCATGGCCTGGTATCATCTCTACAGGTACCACACCGGGGAGCAGCATTGTCTTGTCCTGTGGAGCGTCAGCGTCTTTGTCACGGCCAAGTGCCCTGGTTGAAAGGGCGTCTGAAGACAATGGCACCAGGGGTGATGGGGACAGTGTAGCTTCCGTTGGTGGCGTCTGGCCACTCCGGCGCGTAGACTTGTAAGCCATGCCGATATCAGGTGTTACCCACAGCAGCTTGTTGTCGGCCCGCTTCACCCGTTCGGAATGCTTTAGAACTGAGATGCAGAAGTGTTGTGCCCAGACCCAGCAAGTAGGGGAAATTTCAACCCTGAGTGCAGCACTACTTGTTGGATGGATGCCACGCCACGCATGTGCACTGCATATGTGCACAGGTACATCTGTGATAGATACATGTACATGTATCCACATGTTGTCATGTATGTGAATTACGTTTACATGTATTGGCAGATGTATGTACCTTAATTTCGGAATAAATGCCTTGTATCTGGTTATCTCAATGTTTTCATGACACCGATCAAAAAAACATTACCAAATCTCTTCAAAAACCGCCACGGGACCTCGTGCATGCATCCACACTCACCATGATATCCTGCTAACTGCATACCCATTCATGGACAGTCCAAACGCTGACTTTTTTCAATAACCATGTGACCACAGAAAGTGCCATGTCATCAGAAAACCCAAGTGAAAACAGACCCGACATGTCACGCCGAAGGCAATCGGCGAAAAGACTAGATCTGCAACAAAGATACACATGCAATTTAATTTCATCCTATCAATCTCCTAATCCACTCCCTCCTCCATCATCTGATTCATCTCCTGCTCTGCCCCCTTCCCATCATCCTATCCATCTCCTACTCCGCCCTCTCCCCATCAATCCTATCAAATTCCTACTCTTCTCCCTCCCCATCATCCTATCCATCTCCTACTCTTCTCCCTCCCCATCAATCCTATCAAATTCCTACTCTTCTCCCTCTCCATCATCCTATCCATCTTCTACTCCGCTCCCTCCCCATCAATCCTATCAAATTCCTACTCTTCTCCCTCCCCATCATCCTATCCATCTCTTACTCCACCCCTCCCCATCTTCTATCCATCTCCTACTCTGCCTCCTCATCATCATCCTATCCATCTCCTACTCCGCCCCTTCCCTATCATCCCATTCATCTACTCCAGCCCTGCCCATCTTTCAGCAATCCTTGGTATCATTGGCTGGATGGAAACTGCCAAATCATAACAATGTCATTTTCTTCTCAAGTGAGACCCTAGTCTCTGAAATGCCAATTCGTCTTCTAAGGAATCAATATTACATAGGCTCGCATCACCTTCACAGCTCACCAAAAGGCAAGGATATTGCTTTGCAGTTGGTTCAATTATTTTGTTCAAACTAGGCAAACACTTCCGACTGGAATTACTTGTTTGTTTTGGAAAGTTGACAATCTGACATAGTTCTCTTTATGACTTACAGTACTTGTAAACTTGTACGAAGAAACAAAGACTTACTCATCTCGTTGCTCCACCTGGCCACTACATGTACTATCACTGCTGGAAGTCCAAGGTCTCTTAGTTTGAACCAGTAACAAGGGTGTTACTGGTAACGACTGTATTCTTGGTCTTGTACCTTGGTCCTCCCATTTCTGTTATTAATAAATAAAAAATGGTATTTTTTTTAAGATTCACCCTACATGCATCTGGCACACATCCATCCATAATAGATTACATAAAAATATCCCTAGAGTCAACCTTGCATATCACCATATATAATCATAACTTTTTTCCAATCGGCCAATTTGGCAAAGATCTCATGTAATCCTCACCCTAGGCACACTCCAACTGGCCACACCCCAACCACTGCAGAGTAAGACTTTTTGAAAGATCAGTATCCCAAAGACGTCCATATGATTGGGAAATGACCTGGTAGTAAAAAACAATTCACTTCGTAGTTCAGAGTTATTTTGGGGGCGTGGCTACAAATGTACTTCCACAGCAGCATAATGAAATCTAGTTAGACAGGGGGCCTGACGGGGTGTATTGGCTACCACAAAACAGTTGTACAGGTTCAGGCATGGCCAGGGACTTGGTGAACTGATGTGGTGATGATTTTCTCCGCGTGGAGAAAAGACCCCCTTTTTGGCATTGCAGCTCCGAGAATGTAAGCAACATTATTATTATTATTATTATATTCCTCAATCTTGCTACACTTCTTGCTTACATGTACATGTACACTGTAGCCTCCGCGCTACAGATCATCAACTTTATGGCTCAGCAATGACATGCACCCTTGGTAGTCAAATAATGTCTATCACATGTAACTCAAATGTTATTTTAATTACTGGAACGGTGTGGCAAGCTCATGGGTGGCTGAAGTAATAGCAAAGTCTGAAGTCGGATGATAATAACTAGAATTTGTGATTCAGTTGTGACTTAAATTAAATACAGAAATAGCACAAAAACAGCAGCTGGGTGTCGTGAGATGGCAGTTGTGATTGACAGTAGTATGATACTGATGGTGGTGATGGTTGTGGCGATAGTGCTGGTTCATCTACATGAAATTAGAAATACAAAAGATCGCTGCTAAATAACATATCCACGTGTAAATCCTTTGTGTGCCTGCTTACTTACACCATTCAAAACTTGACTCTATTGCTCTGAACTGTCTCAAAAAATATTTGCAGAACAGACTGGTCGAAAGGAGCGGATAAATGAGCTGCACATACACGTACATGTACTTGCACAACGCCCTCATCGGTAAAGAGAGAAAAGTCCTATTCACATGGAAAAAACTGTATGACCTGTATGCGTTGGAAACTTTATCAACAATGTTTGTATAAAATCTAAAGATTACAACTCACTTTGCTGAGATGGCAAGGTTTTCACAAATTAAGAATGATGATTTTGTCAGAAATTCACCGCACAATGCGGCATAAATTGGCGGAACAGAATTCAGTCAGCACTCAAGCAGGTCCCTCTGGGAACAAAATATTGCAACACACAAGTCACTGCACTCGTGAACAAAAAAAAGAGCACTGTTCTGGCCGCTACATATACATACACTGTACATACCCTCTCCAACATATTGCACAAAGCATACATGTATTTATCCAGAATAGTCTAAAATATGGAGCTCATTCCAGAATATGAGTCCTCGTAAACATGCTAATTGGAATCTCTACACGCTTGATCTTTTGAAAAGACGCAACAGGCTCCTTAAGAGCACCATGAGCTGTGGCAGACTGAATTTTTTTTAGAGTTTTGATGTTTGACAGTTTAGTGTTCTGTTTCATAGGATACCTCATCATCCACTTTCTTTTGAGTTGTTTTTGATACGTTTGATATGACTCGGAATTTTCTTTTGGTTTAAAAAGTTTCGAAAGCCCTTCCTAAAAGATGATAAACAAGATAAGCTTCTAAAAGGTTTAAACTAATTATCTTCCATTTTTTAAAGTAATTTCAGAGGTGTACGTTTGACACCAAAAAATGTACAATGTACACTGTATGTTCAAATCCTATACAATACATGCCTTCTCTAAACATCATAATCTGATAAAAATATGTCGTGCCTTTAAGTTTATTAACAAGGATCTGCTGAAACTAAACACAGGAGAAAGATTATTTCAAGTCCCAGCACATCACAGAGTTCGTGACACAAAATTGAAACCCCCCAAAAATCACTTTCTCCGAGTTTGTCCAACACTGTGGTGTTTTGAGTCAGTTTAAACAAGGGTAATAATGCTGAGTGGGTACCGTAATTATCGGAATATAAGCCACCTGGTGTATAAGCCACAGCACGTAAAAGCCCGCAAATTAAGATTTAAAGTCAGCATGAAAGCCTCACCAGCATACAAGCCACACCGTAAAATTGACGACCAAACTATTAAGGTTATCATGTTGCATGCTGAAGTGTTCTTGTAAAAGCGTAAAGAAGCCCATCCCTAGCTTTCTTCAGATCAGAGTTTTTCCCTGCCTGTACGCCACTGTGGACAGGAGAAAATGTGCAAAATCTGCAAAGAGACGGGCCATTTTGCAAGCGATTGCCCTCACAGGGGGCAGTGTTTTGTCTGCGGGAGTGGGAACATCGTGCAACACGGCACAATGACGAGGGTCCCGGTCCCAAAAGACATCAGAGGGACAATGAGAAAGATTCTGACGGTGGAGAAAGAAAGTACATGTGTAGATAGAGGAGAATGAGGGCTCCGATGACGGAAATTTCCAGGAGACACCAGCTCCAGATATGGATACTCGCAGACATCAAGGATTTGGGATGAAGCCATGATGATGACTGACGGAGCCAACAATATAGGTGAGCATGAAGATGCAAAGAACAGAGGAAACACAGATAGAGCTAAAAGAGAGGAAGCAAGATCAGCTGGAGTAGATCATCCTATAGACGCAGAGTATGAAGTAACCCTGGCTGATCTGGGGAATGACAATCGTCAAGATGAGGAGTTTGAAGACATATCAGAAACAGAAGGAAAAGAAGCAGGATGGGAGTATGTTTCATATACCCGAGGAGGGAAAAAACTGCTGAGCAAAAAATCCATGTCCTGGGAGAGAAAGCCAAAGGCAGTCGGTTAGAAAATGAACCCACTACATCAAGCCAGTCAGATAAAAGAATGGTGCAAGTTTCATCAGCCTGACCATCGAATCCGGATGGTTGCGTTGGCCAACTTAAGCTAGCCACTTCAAGACAAGTTTGTTTCCCAGACCTTGGTGGGGCAACAAGGGGCAGTGGTGGAAAATACGTGTGAATCTCAGCAACAGGAAACACAAGCAAGCCTGGCTATAGAATATGGCTTACCAGTGCAGTCTTTGGACATTGATCAATCTTCCCAATATGATCATCTCACCTGGGCTGAAAGATGTGCTTGCGTGAGAACAACAGGGAAGGCAACCGAGGGAAAGTCTACTCCAATCAGACAATCCTCAAGTGTTGGACAGTCAGCCTCGATGAGTGACCACAGTTCTCGGATTAGCCAGGAGAGCCAACAGAGTGAGTGTAGTCAGTTTTAGCCATCCCTTCTCCCTGGGTCCTTCATAGCCAAGGGAAGAGGAAAGGGCAGATCAAGGGGAGTGTAGTTCCCTTTTCCTTAATCGTGTTCCTTAACATTTACATATTGTTGCTGATGCCCTTTTTGTCAATTGCATCATTTAATGTTAATGGCCTATGACATGATCTTAAGAGAGATGTGATATTTGAATTTTTGGAGCGTAAGAAATTTGATGTCATTTTCCTACAGGAAAAAAAATTGAGGAGTGGAGAAGGATAAGAATTAGAGCTTAAAATATTTTAAAAGAGGAAAGTGAAAATCCTTCCAAGTATTTCCTCAATTTGGAAAAGGAGCAAATCCAGAGTTGTAAAATTGAGAAACTTCTTAAGCCGGATGGTACTTTTGCTTGTAATCAGAGTGGTATGTTAGACTGTGCCAATGACTTCCAAAGAAAGTTATACACATCTGAAGAAATTTCAGAATTAGATCTCAATGCAGTTGTTTCCAATGTGGAAAACAAACATATTCCGGATGATGTCCGAAATGTCTTAGAAAGTAATGTCTCTATGGAAGAGATAAAAAAATGCTCTTATTCACATGAATAAAAATAAATCGCCCGGTATGGATGGTTTAACTGCGGCATTTTTCAGGTCTTCTGGGATACCATATGTATGGAGCTTTTAGAAGTGTTTGAGGAATGCTATAAATCAGGGCTTCTGTGTGAATCTGTGAATACTGCTTTAATTAGATTAATCTATAAAAGAAAGGGTGATAAATATGATCTCAAAAATTGGCATCCCATAAGATTATTGAATGTGGATTATAAGATTTTATCCAAAGTAATAACTAACCGTTTGAAGCTTATAATGCCCATCCTCATAGGAGACAGTCATGTGGAGTTAAGTAGAAATATTCATGAGAATCTTATGGTGTTGAGGGATATTTTCGATCATGTTAACTGGAATAACTTAAATGGAGCGGTCATTAGTTTACACCAAGAAAAAGCTTTTGATCGTATTAATTGGATTTATTAGTTTTCAGTTGTTAAAAAGATGGGCGTTCCCTCGGTTTTGATTGATTGGATTAACCTTTTGTATAGCGACCCTATCTGTTGCATAATTCTTAATAATTTTATTGGAGGGCTGATTCAAGTTTCTCGTAGTATCAGGCAGGGTTGCCTTTTCGGTATTTTTGGCAATGACTTTAATTTTACCGCCGTTAAATGCTTGGGCGCCCTGCGTTATCAAATGCACGTTATATTTTTCCAAGTTGTGCAGAATCACTGGAATGGCCGTTTGGCCGGGCACGTGTCGAAACTTGCCATTATACTGAGCACGCGCCAGGACAATGATTGCCGCTTTCATTTACCAAACTAAAGGCAATTTTTTTGAGCCATTGTTTTAGGCTCATTTGGAACTTGACACTGGCACTGAGATTCTTTAGTTTTGCCAATGCATCTTTCGCAGATCAAACACGTGTTGCAGTTTTCATAAATTTTCTGCAATTCGTGCGACCAAGTTAGACACTCGGGTTTGGCAAATGTTTTATTAATCACGGCAACTTCTCTGGAAAGTGTGTGCACAAATTTAAGTGTCGCATCTTGACCTCTGTAAGTCCCACAACCGGTGCAAATTCCATCGCATTTGACA